GATAAAAATATTTTTTCAATGTTGTGAACTTTGTCCTAGCCGATCCACAGATAGTGAGGTTGCAATATGGATGTACTGCTGCTGGTCATAGAAGTGCACTTATAGCTAGTTATTCATTTGTACATTGTAATCAGACTAATTTTTTTTACAAAAGTGAAGAATGCAGTAATTACATCAAAACAAACAACTAAAAACAAGAAGAAAATATCCCATTTGCAATAAATATTTATTTGTTTTAATATAGTATCGCTATTTTAATATAGTCGCTGTGAGCTACTTATTTTAAGTAATCTTACTGCTATCAGAATTGTTGCTAGGATAAATTATTTATGTTTAGAACACTAGAACACATATATATACATACTGGAATATGTATATAGCCTAGTATATAGCTTATAGTGTATATTGTTTATAGTTAATATTTTTTGTAAAATTAATTACAATCTTTGAGAAAGCAGTTAAGAACCATTAATGCATTTGAAAAAGTATTACAAAACAATAAATTTATTTATATATTTACATATTAAAACCCTTATGTACTGTACGTAAACAGCCATTGAATTCTAGCAGAAAAGCGATCAAACAACGATCTGAGCCATCAGCAAGAAACTTTAGTAAAATGTTAACACGGCAAGAATAGGTGTGACCGGAGGATTTGCGAGTTGATTAATACCTAGAGTAGAAGATATTCACAAATTGATGCTCTTGGATTTAGGGTTTCGTCGGGAAAGTTTGTCCAATAGTTTATCTTCAAACGCACAATGTTAGACGATGTCCGAGGCGAGTAGGGGAGGTATCCTGTACGGTTACCTCCCGTACTCGCCTCGGCACTGATACGATTAAAAATTTAGGAAATTTTTGTGATGACGATACTCCTGCAGGAACAGGCGACGACTAACTAAATTTGCAGTTCCTTGTTATATTCAACTGATGAAATCGGGACAATAGGTCGGAAGGTTATGAGAAAGCGTCACTTTGCTGCTGAGAACTTAACAAACGATTAACTCCTGTTAGCTGACGAAAACGGTTAACTCCAATTAAAAAACGGTTAGCTGACAAAATTTTATTGTCAAAATGTTATGTCAGGATTTAGTTATGTAAATAAATGGCGTAGTACAGTCTCACAGGGAGTATCATGACCAGTAGAATATACGGACCATGCTTCTACTTCGGGAATCTGGAAACGAATATAGATGGGTAGAAAAATCCCAGGAATTCTCCGGGAGTAGTCCTTCCAGGATATGTCGGGCCAGTCCCTCACCACTATCTGGCATCCCTGTTGTGAGCCTGGTCGAATCACAAAGGGAATGATAAAAAGACCCTCTTCCTGCTCATAGAGCAGAAAAAGGGCCAAGATAAAAAGAAACATTGTAATAAATTATGTAATTATAATTTTAACTAAATATATAGAAGCAACCAAAATGTCTTCTTGATTCTGTCCTGTCTAATTACACTGGGGAACAAATGAAAGCTTTTTTTAGTACACAAATGAAAATACCTAATCCTAATAAAATTTTTATGTTGTTTTCAAATAGGTAAACAGTTTTTATCCATTATATCTAGATTTTTTGTAACAGCCAGTTTAAATGTAAAGCATACTTATTTGGATAATATGCACACACTTATTTATTTATCTTGTCTAAAATGGCGAGATATGGAGCTTCTGCTATTTTTGGCGTTTGGAGAAGCCCTGTAGGGTGTCCAACAGTAATCAGAAAGCATTGTTGAATTTCACTGGTCCTGATACCTCTTTTCCATGATAGAGATTTCTTGATCGAAACTCTCCCCGTGTTCGTCACTGACAGTATCAAGATTGCCGGGGAAGAAATCCAAGTGGGAATACAAGAAATGCATTTTGAGATAATTATCACATTCCATACCATTGTAAGGTTTTAGGAGCCCATTCACAACTTTGCAGTAATTTGGAACTTTGTGATTACCAAAGAAATTTTGCGCAACATCTTTGGATGATTTCTATGCCGACTTTTCAACTGCGCTTAACAAGCTGTCGAATTTTTCATTTTTAATTAAAGTTCTTATTTGTGGGACCACGAAAATTCCAGTTTGATTTTAGCATTACTTATATAAGGAAACTTGTTTTTTCAAATAATGAAATCCAGCATTCTTTACATTCATTTGTTTGGAAAAGTCTTAACTTTATATAAAGTGGAGGTAGAAGAATCATGTCAGCATTGACTAATGGGACATGAAGAATATTTTTCTGACCAGGAATAGACATTTCACGTATTGCCATTCCTTCTTGACGTAATGATTTTTCTTTTTTCTTCTGTTCCGCTCAAACAAGAAACAACAAAATTAAGTATATCCAAGCTGCAAACCCATTAATAATGCACAGAATTTTAAATCAAAACATATGATCCAATTGTACTTATAAAAATAAATTTTTTCAAGTAAGAGTTTCATATTTTCCTACGTTTCTTTCATTTTAGTTGAATAAGTTAATGACACAGAAGGAAATTTGTTTCCGTTGTGTAAAAGCACAGCCTTAAGACTAATCTTATTGTTAGACGAATCGATGAAAAGTCTTCATTCCATGATATTATGTTTATGATCAAGTGCATCCATCACAGTCTTAATATTATAATATTAGTGCTGCTATGGATGCAGTTTCTGTGGACGGCCAGACAAAGAGCCAAAATTTTAGTCCATGATTACAGAAAATTAGAGGGTGATAGAAAAATTTCAATTACATATATGAAATCAGCACAAAAGTTCTATTAAACACGATTTTTCTCTTCTGTATGACAAAAATCATGTTGATCAGTGTTATCAAAAACGTCATAAAATACAGAATGATGATCAGTGTCATGAAATCAGTGTCATAAAATAGAGAATGATTTTATGAATATTTTAAAACAAGGAATTGACTTATTGTCAGCATACTTATAACTATTTTATATAATTGTGCAGAGGCGTAGCCTACAATGAAAGGTTGTCTCCGCAAAGTGAAAACTTGTTCTTGATGATTAGACAGGACAGAAGTTAGAAGACACTTTAGTTTTATTTTATATATTTGTTTAAAATTGTGAAATATATTGTCTGCCATTTTAATTCAAATTATGTAGGCCTATATTTAGATATATAGTTCTTTTAATTTTTTTTAAATGATTGTTATTATAATTTTATTTCTTTTTAAAACAACATATATTTTTATGTAATGATAAAAATTACTTATTTAAAAATGAAAAATGCCGTGTGTAAGAGAAACTATTATTAGAATTTTAATATCTTATATTTTTATATGTATATATAGCCAACAATTCCTATTATATGAACATAGTTCTACAAAATCCAAAGAAACATTCTCGTATTTTTAAAAGAAACGTAAATGAAGCTGAAAAATTAAGCGTCTCTTATCATGAGATTAAGAAGAGGATGATTGATGCGGTAAGTCGGAAGATGTAATTTATTTTCTGATATTAATTAAGTGTATTAAAATACTGTCTCTTTTATATCATAATAAATACAAAAGGGAGATAATAAGCCTACCAAATAAACATCGAATACTGAATTTTTAATTAATTATGTTAATTTTCTTGTAGTATATAACTGCTTTATGAATTGTAAAATAAAAGCAAATGTTATTAATATTTTGTTAGTCTCAAAAAGTAATTAAGCATAAAGTCGAGGCATGAATTTAAATTAACTACTTACTATTCTGTAGCAGAGGGACAGATTTAAAATGCATCTGCTTAAAAATATCTTTAAATAATAATTCGACATTATCTCATTGATTAAATAATCATCAAGGATTTACTGTATTACCAACGCCATTACTTTAACACCAAGTTCCATTCGATTCTAGCACTTATTTTTTTTTCTGTATGTGCATGTGAAACTATTTTTAAGTGCCATAAGGATTTTTTAAGATTATTAAGTTTTAAGTATTTTTACACTTAACGTTGCAAAATCGGCAATAGTTATGACCTCAGTCATTGTAATATCTCCACGACCAATGAACCGTTTTGGATAAAGTATAAAATAATTAGTGTCCATGATGAGTATTATGGCCGTCTTAGATTATAAATAAATTCGTTGGCTCATTTTGTAGTTACGCGATTGACATTGTGCCGTCTAGATTTACTACGAAAAGTCTGAAACCTGTAAGTAAACATTGGTAATTTCGTGATACTTTTTAAATTCATTTTCATCGAATAAGTAATGTAAGTTGAGATTTTAAATTTTGCTCGCAGATAGTGGGGGATATATTAAATCTAAAAATTTTGTTGGTTTGATTAAATTGTCATTTTATAACTGCTTTAATTCTTACAATAGAGATCAAAACGATTGCTATTGTAAGAAGAAGAAAATTAGAAATTTGTAAAAGTGTTTTAAGAGACTAGCTTTATCATAAGTTTACAAACATAATTAATGGTGAGTGAATTGTTCTTTGATATTTCAATAAACTAAGAACTGGACATATATTTAAACACGCGATTTTTATTATTTTTTGTATTGTGAGTTTAAATTTCCTTAGTACTTTGACAACATTCTTAGCTTTCTGTGTGAAATTCAAGATATATCAAACACAAGGACTTTTTAGTAATTAATAATTGTTGATTAGCGACGTAAAATAATAATACTTGTATATGTAACTTATAGATAATGCCTGTTGAACATATCCTGTGTTTATTTCATATTTTTAGGTCCAATAGGAAGTATGACAAAATAACCAATATATCACGAAATTATTACTTGAAATGTCATCAAAATACTGTTAATGTAAAAAAAGATAAATTTTTTTTGAACATATCCTGTGTTTCTTTCATATTTTTAGGTCCAAAAGGAAGTATCACAAAATAACCAATATATCACGAAATTATTACTTGAAATGTCATCAAAGTATTGTTAATGTGAAAAAGATAAATTTTTGAAGTCTGGAGAATTTTTTAGAAAGTTCAATATATGATCAATTATTTATTGTGACATCGTCGCAATGCAGGCTGCAATTTTAAATCACATTTTTAATTTATTTAATTTAAAATATATGCTCTCTATCTCAAATTAGCAGTGTCTTGCTCCTGTATCTCATACTTTTCTATTAGCAATTCAGTCGTCTAACTCCTTTGAGAAAAAAAATTTCGAATTGATCTAACATGATTTCCGGTTTGCATCAGAAGTTATTATATAGTTAATCGGGCTTTCTGTTCCTTATCTTTCCATATCTGGTCTCGGCTTTCGTCTAACCAATTCTGTTTTTGAGATTAAGGAAGGACAGATATACAGACAAACGATAGTGGGCACTTATGTCTGCAGTTTTTTTTTCAAATTGAAGCCAAATATATATTCTAAAGGACCCTCTCACAAATTCTCAAATAATATTACGAAATAATTACCTGTACGCAACATAAGAAATATGCTCCTAAAAACTAAGATATAAATATATTCATAAGAACAAAAAGCCATGCAGTTATCTTGAGATTATGATCCTTTTAATACTATAGTTAACGTGTTCATTTACGAAATATATACTCGATAATTAGAAAATAATTAATATTATCACGAATTTACCAATGTTTACACCAGCTCGTTAGAGATGTGACCTCCACATATTTGTCCTTTTAAAGGTTTTATTTAAAAATATTACNAAAATACAGAATGATGATCAGTGTCATAAAATAGAGAATGATTTTATGAATATTTTAAAACAAGGAATTGACTTATTGTCAGCATACTTATAACTATTTTATATAATTGTGCAGAGGCGTAGCCTACAATGAAAGGTTGTCTCCGCAAAGTGAAAACTTGTTCTTGATGATTAGACAGGACAGAAGTTAGAAGACACTTTAGTTTTATTTTATATATTTGTTTAAAATTGTGAAATATATTGTCTGCCATTTTAATTCAAATTATGTAGGCCTATATTTAGATATATAGTTCTTTTAATTTTTTTTAAATGATTGTTATTATAATTTTATTTCTTTTTAAAACAACATATATTTTTATGTAATGATAAAAATTACTTATTTAAAAATGAAAAATGCCGTGTGTAAGAGAAACTATTATTAGAATTTTAATATCTTATATTTTTATATGTATATATAGCCAACAATTCCTATTATATGAACATAGTTCTACAAAATCCAAAGAAACATTCTCGTATTTTTAAAAGAAACGTAAATGAAGCTGAAAAATTAAGCGTCTCTTATCATGAGATTAAGAAGAGGATGATTGATGCGGTAAGTCGGAAGATGTAATTTATTTTCTGATATTAATTAAGTGTATTAAAATACTGTCTCTTTTATATCATAATAAATACAAAAGGGAGATAATAAGCCTACCAAATAAACATCGAATACTGAATTTTTAATTAATTATGTTAATTTTCTTGTAGTATATAACTGCTTTATGAATTGTAAAATAAAAGCAAATGTTATTAATATTTTGTTAGTCTCAAAAAGTAATTAAGCATAAAGTCGAGGCATGAATTTAAATTAACTACTTACTATTCTGTAGCAGAGGGACAGATTTAAAATGCATCTGCTTAAAAATATCTTTAAATAATAATTCGACATTATCTCATTGATTAAATAATCATCAAGGATTTACTGTATTACCAACGCCATTACTTTAACACCAAGTTCCATTCGATTCTAGCACTTATTTTTTTTTCTGTATGTGCATGTGAAACTATTTTTAAGTGCCATAAGGATTTTTTAAGATTATTAAGTTTTAAGTATTTTTACACTTAACGTTGCAAAATCGGCAATAGTTATGACCTCAGTCATTGTAATATCTCCACGACCAATGAACCGTTTTGGATAAAGTATAAAATAATTAGTGTCCATGATGAGTATTATGGCCGTCTTAGATTATAAATAAATTCGTTGGCTCATTTTGTAGTTACGCGATTGACATTGTGCCGTCTAGATTTACTACGAAAAGTCTGAAACCTGTAAGTAAACATTGGTAATTTCGTGATACTTTTTAAATTCATTTTCATCGAATAAGTAATGTAAGTTGAGATTTTAAATTTTGCTCGCAGATAGTGGGGGATATATTAAATCTAAAAATTTTGTTGGTTTGATTAAATTGTCATTTTATAACTGCTTTAATTCTTACAATAGAGATCAAAACGATTGCTATTGTAAGAAGAAGAAAATTAGAAATTTGTAAAAGTGTTTTAAGAGACTAGCTTTATCATAAGTTTACAAACATAATTAATGGTGAGTGAATTGTTCTTTGATATTTCAATAAACTAAGAACTGGACATATATTTAAACACGCGATTTTTATTATTTTTTGTATTGTGAGTTTAAATTTCCTTAGTACTTTGACAACATTCTTAGCTTTCTGTGTGAAATTCAAGATATATCAAACACAAGGACTTTTTAGTAATTAATAATTGTTGATTAGCGACGTAAAATAATAATACTTGTATATGTAACTTATAGATAATGCCTGTTGAACATATCCTGTGTTTATTTCATATTTTTAGGTCCAATAGGAAGTATGACAAAATAACCAATATATCACGAAATTATTACTTGAAATGTCATCAAAATACTGTTAATGTAAAAAAAGATAAATTTTTTAAAGTCCGGAGAATTTTTTAAAAAGTTCAATATATGATCAATTATTTAAGTTAATTTATTCAATTTAAAATATATGCTCTCTATCTCAAATTAGCAGTGTCTTGCTCCTGTACCTCATACTTTTCTATTAGCAATTCAGTCGTCTAACTCCTTTGAGAAAAAAAAATTCGAATTAATCTAACATGACTTCCGGTTTGCATCGGAAGTTATTATATAGTTAATCGGGCTTTCTGTTCCTTAGCTTTCCATATCTGGTCTCGGCTTTCATCTAACCAACTCTGTTTTCGAGATTAAGGAAGGACAGATATACAGACAAACGATAGTGGGCACTTTTTTTCAAAGTCTGCAGTTTTTTTTCAAATTGAAGCCAAATATATATTCTAAAGGACCCTCTCACAAATTATCAAATAATATTACGAAATAATTACCTGTACGCAACATAAGAAATATACTCCTTAAAACTAAGATATAAATATATTTATAACAACAAAAAGCCATGCTGTTATCTTGAGAGTATGATCCTTTTAATACTATTGTTAACGTGTCCATTTACGAAATATATACTCGATAATTAGATAATAATTAATATTATCACGAATTTACCAATGTTTACACCAGCTCGTTAGAGATGTGACCTCCACATATTTGTCCTTTTAAAGGTTTTATTTAAAAATATTACGTATTCATAATTGCTCATTTTAACATTTTTAACATGACGAGGTTCAGTCTATTGCGTGACTGTCACGTGAAAATAGAATTTTCATGTGATCTCAAATAATCATCGTCTGACTTCATGTTTTGTGTTTAAATTTTTATCTATTAATTAATACACGCCAAATGATTTATAAAACA